CTGCATATAATACCTACGTGTTTCCCATTTGTTTCGCGTTATTCTTGATAACACAATTTATTAATTTGAATACTTTTGCCGAACTGATCGTAAACACATTTCCAATATTTATACACGTAAAATTATCTTTCGATCGTACATTATGCAGGTACTGTAACTAACACGTGTAAATCGATGATCGCGAGAACGACAGCGTTTACGATCAACACATCAGCTGCTAAAAGCGGCGTAAACGCTATAGTTTCAGTCGAACAGTCTGGACAAAGACTAATGGAGTCGATAGACTTGCACATGTATCGCGCGCATAGGCGTTATTATTAAATGGCAGAAAACTTATGAACAGCGAAAACTGTTCTTTTAGAGAATACCAGTGTTGAAAGATGGCAGGTCCATCGGAGACGGACGGCCGTCTCTGATGTCGGCGCGTAAATACGTAAATAAAAAGGTTCTTGTTGGCAAACTTCTAAATTCGTCGCGAGAAAAGCTCGTAATCCAAGTAAGTAAATAATGGAGGAGCGGCCGGTGTAAAAATAGCCGCCGGACCATGAGAACTGCATTTTAAATAAATATAGATTATACGACAGTATATATGGATAGAAGAAAATTTACATGGAAGGAAAACAAACAGGGAGAAAAATATTGTGAATATGCACGAAAATCGTATTCCATCCGTGTGAATGGTGTGTTTATTACCGCGACACGTTAATTTTTCAAGATTAAACAAAAATATGTATATATACGGTGCATACATTTGGTTACATATTTTTTTTTTTTTTTAAATAGCGGAAGATAAGAGATAGAAATATATTTATAATCCGTGATTTCGATTTTCCATGCAAATTTTCCATGGTCGAAAAATACAAAATTAACAATAGGCGGTTATCTTTTTTAGATACGAGATATATTATATTAAACCGATTAAACAGCGGTATTATGCGCAAGGTAAAAGGGTTTAAACGATTTCTCGCGATATAATACGTGCAAATTTAGATCGATAAAAACGCAACTGTTAAATTGCTGCGTTTTTCGAAAATAAATCGAACGGAATTTTATGTGATAATCTACTCGCTTGTAGAACAGATAGACATTTTTTTTTAAACTATAAGCTCAAGAGAGACGGAATGGATTTTCACGTTTACCGATCGTTAATTGAAAAGCGATAACTGCACGCATCATAATTTCCATATAGCCATATTTCACCGATAACCGCAAAATAATTAAGTGGATACGACGAGGGTGTGTTGCTGTAGCTATTGTGGTTAATGTGGTTCAATTTATGTTCTATTAGATACGTTGAACGGTATATTTAGCATTTATTATTTATATTTGTATTTTATACACGTGTTGATGAGTGAGAGACATATAAAAAATAATCTCATTCTCAAACTTATTGTAATTTAACGATAGTCGCGAATTAAAACTTGACACGTGTCTTCTTTTCTCCTTTTTCTTCTTAATTTTTCCTCGAACGAATTAGAATTTCGTATTTTTCGACGATTCTTCCGAACTGTTCCTCGATAATGAAACAATCGTACGTGTAAGTACGTGTTATTCTCGATGTTAATATTATATCGAGAATATAATATAATAAAGTGGCTTGATCAAATTTGAAATTATCGCATCGAAATGGGGAAAGGAGGAGAGAAAATCTAGCGGTAAATTGTATCGACTTGTTTTCAATACAGTTTAAGAAGTCCGATATTGGATAAAGTCGATACTGTAGAGTGTACAGTTTCTCGAAGACCGTTTGATTAATTCTTATTGAAGATTCGACGAAGGGAATAATGTGCCGCGTAATCACAATTATTATTAGCAGGATCCTTTTTGACTTTTTTTTTTTTTTAAATTAATTAATCACTTTTGAAGTTTTTCATGTTTGACCTGTATATCGCGAAATACGTAATATTCTTGAAAGGTCGGTCTTCATTGTAACACGAGTCGCCATTTGCTCTATTTAGGAGTATTCTCTCGAGTTACACATTCATAGCTTTTTCTTTTTTTTAGAGGCTTAAGCTTCCATTTCAAATCTAGAGATTTTTACCACGAATCTCGTAGTAGCCAAGGGTATGGATATATATATATATATTTTTTTTCATTTTTAAAAATATAATTGAAATTAAATTTTCAGAGGAATTTGCACAGGGCGTGAAAAAAGTCGATGTCGAGAGTAAGGAAAAACGACAGTATTTATAATCTTCGTTCTTCGATGCAATTTAAAGAGGAAGGCCGAGAGACTCATTACTTTACAGCGGAACCTTATCACCCATGATTGAGGTCGGTGACGATGATAACTTAGCAATTTCCCACTGAGGTCGTGGTGTACCATTCCCTCCCCCCTAATCAGATTTCTACAAAATTTCGAGTACGTGGAATTGTGAGGCAAATGGAACGGTTTAGGAGGGGGTCGGAGGGTTCCGTTCCCTTTAAATTGCCTCTTGCATTAAATTTTTCGAACTCACCACCAGAAGCGGCCAACTTTTCCCCGTGAGTATGAAAACACAAAAGTCCAATATTCCCTTGAAACTGATTGCCGCTAAGACGGCGGAGGAGGGGGAGAACTGGGCCACTTACGAAATCCATCTTCTCCAATACTTGTCCCCCTCCCCCGCCTTATGGCAATTCGAACGAAATATCCTTCGTAGAGATTTCAAGAATTTTTAATTTCCTTCCTCTTATCGTAAGAAAGAAAAAAAAAAAAGTGAAAGAAACAACTGTTATTCGAAAGAACACGTTTTAAAATTTTCGATATGAAAATTCGAATAGGGGGGATATTTTTCTCTTACACGGTCCTCCATTTGCTTTGGAACATCTCTCTTAGACGGGAACATGAGAGAGAGAGAGAGAGAGAAAAAGAGAGGATTAAGCCTTGCCATCGAGTAGCTTAGCCATACTTTTTCAAAAAAAAAAAAAAAAAAAAAAA